ATCTTCTAAGAAAAAGATTGAGAGATACTGGGATTGCTTGGTTCCTTATGGATGAATCAATCCGTGGAGGCGAATTATGTTCCCGTAGAAGGAAGTTATCTAAAAATAAAAAAGAAACTTAAGTGCCAATGCAATCTTTACTGCTCTGAAACACAAGTCCGACTGCTGCCACTATCAATAAGCAGAATTAATGGGATATCAGATAAGGAAGAAGCAAAAGCGTGTACACATCTACACAAAAGGAAGCCGAATTCAACAACTTTATCAGTTGAAATGTTTTGCTTCGCAAGTATGACATCTTATTGCAATTTTAATCCATCATCCACCCAGACGGATGAAACCCAACAAGACGTTTCCCGTTCCATTAGTATAGTGAAACGGTTGAGCGTATTTGCAAACACCTTGACCGAGGCCGGAAACCGAACGGCATAAGTCATACATGCCCCCATCCCCCCGGAGGTGGAATGAAGTGTTGGAACACGACGATTACCGCAGTTTAACTCCTTCACGTCTCCGAAAGCCACAACGTCCTTCACGAGGACTGACTGCGAACTGTATATCAATATGGGACTTACAAATCACAGCCATTGTATTAGTGATATTTCCAGTATCGTTATCAAACGGAGATTTCGTAAATTTATCACATCAGATCTTATGAATAACCTTTCAATGTTTAAATATCTCCGGCTACCTGCCGATTAAGGTGAATGTGTTTCCCAGTCTTCAGACCCGGTACTCCATAATATCAGGCAAACGGAATAAAAACGCATATATAACACAATATCCACTTGCCCGTTGTTATCTGTCACAACCGCGTACTTCATTTTGCAGTACTATCTAGGCTTCAACTAGATCGCTTAATTATGTTTTAGCTTCACTGTGTTGTTAGAAAACGGAATCGGTTCGTTCCTCGAATTCCGTGAACAGGACAGATCGTTGTCTTGGCATCCAGGGATCGGTGAGCGTATGGAGAGCGCGGCAAGTTGTCAAGATTGGTAACCATTCGCACAGCTGGTAAACAACACAAGCAAGTTGTCCACCACAGAGTCCAATATGTTTAACAGGGGGTTCACATCCGGCTCGAGCTACACGATACGCATTCACAGTGGCAGCCACGGGCAGTGGGAAAAGGATACTCGACCATCTGTTTATCATTCGGCGAGCGTGATTTGGTCGCTCTCAAGACAATCGAGAATCAGGAACTGATTAGTTATTCGCACTCACATTTGATCGTTTGTGTTTGTCCAATTTCCGGATTGGATTTGATCCATTCTGAGAGCATCTCTTTTTTTTGTTATATGCTAAGAGTTGTTTGATAGAGAATTTTTTGAGAGGTGGTGGGCGGTGGGGGAGGGGTAGCAAAGAGCACGGTACGATACTTCTTCGCTGTGGGAATTCGACAACAATGCTCACTACTTTAGAGTCCCTACCGGGACTTCTATTCTCTCTCGCTTTCTCCACACGGGGTTCAAAGTGAACCCAATCCCACTTGGGTCGTTAACTATTTACAACTTCACCGTTCGTATTTGGTCGAGCGAGAGAAAAAAGGTGATGTTTTTCGGTTCCAAATTTATGTGAGCATTAAACTTACAGACACAAACACACACCATAGTCTAAGAACACCAAAAAGAAACTAAATTTGAATGAGATTGAATGAGAAAAACAGAAAACCGCGAAGTCCACAAAATAGTTTATGGTTATCAGAAAAAGGTAGGGAAAGGAACTAAAAAGTTTAGCGAATGTGTGGGTAAACAAACTGAACTGATCTCGTTTGCTTTGCAATACAGAATGATGAGGAAAATTATCTAATGAAACCAAAAAAGAGGAAGACTATTCGGGGTTGAATATTGACTCTTTTTGAGATTTCAACTTGAAGTTATTGCATGGGTGTAGTAAACTATGACAGAGTTGGGTACCTTGGTGTAACAAACAGACGACAAAGGTTAGGCTGAATCGGAAAAATGACGATCGACAATCACAGACCCAATAAAAGAGGAAGAAGTGAGGACCCATTAGGAAGGTATTCCACACATCGCCCCGAATGAAGGTCCTGTGTTCGAATCTCATCCCGGGAAATTATCTCACTGCCCTATTTCTACATGTCCCATAGCAGGAATGGAGTTGCTGCTACCATCTCCTTAAAACTGATTACACAGTAGTTAACAGTTACAGGTCATTATTATTACTAATAGTATTAGTAATCCAAAATTTGGCACTAGACATTCAGCATTAACTTCATTCGGTGTTAATACTATGCCCCGATTCGATCGCATCTAACGTCATGCGTTTATGGTGTCGAACCAAGAACAGACAGAAGACGATGTTTGAAAACCAATGAATGGAACGTCTTCGTATCTGATACGGTAAAATATTTTCGTGATTTTGCTAATTTTTCACACAAAAAATACCGAAGGAGAATGTTAAATTAAATTCACGCAGAAAAACGTGAACCATTCCTAGGGTGGTGGTGCGGTGATTTAATCGCTGTCCCCGACGCGCTTTGGATCCGAGGTTCGAACCCCGTTATCGCCACCACCACTCGATTTTGATGATAAGTAGCTTTGCTGTGGTCCGGTTCAACACCATACCAAACCTAACGGAGCCTTATGTGGTTCGGCACTTCAAGTCCCGGGACACAGGTTACCAGTTTCCGTCAGTGAACAGCAGGTCTTCGTTACTATGGGGTCCACCCCATCTGCTGTCCATCCTGCAAATGTGTAATAAAAATAAAAAAGACTAATCCGGGTTTCATTATCGATCGGTGATACTTGATCAGTCTTGGACAATCTTCTCCCTGCGTGCAAGTGTAAAGATTTTATTCTTTGTTTAAATCACAGGCAATAAAGAAATAATGTGTTATCAAAGTCTGGACATGTGGCATGAATGTCTCCACTGAGATTCTGCAGTGAGTCTATAGTCATAAAAAGACGATGTGCTTTAGATTTGAAGTAGTTGTGATCAATGGAATGGGTCTTGTAGATCTGCTTGGGACTTCTGGTTCACGGGGAATATAGACGAGACGAGACACGGACGACTGGCTAAGCAGGGTTACAAGCCTGACACGTTTCTATCTCATCTAACTCATCCGTGTCTAAATTTCGTCGCATAGTTGGCACAACTGAATTCAACATTACTCTGTTTTGGTTCATGCGAATTCTCAAGGCCTACGTATTGGGGTTCTGGTATGAGCTTCAAACAACATATACATATGCGTTGGTTCCGTTTGTAGTTATGCCCCAAATCAGAAGTAGGACGAAATAGGGTATAGCTAACAGTTTGTGGTGAAAAGCTGATGAATGGACGAAGTTACCTGATTTAATACACGTATACGAATGGAATAGAAATGGGGAGAAAATGGTTCGAGTCCGGAACGGCTAAAACAATCCGAAATGACACTGATTACTTCTAGTCCCCCAAGGATAGGTTATCAAAGTTCAAAGATTTATGATGGGAATAACTTTTTCTTTTTCATTTTACTTCTTTTTATTGAGTATACAAAGATACAATTTTCAGGAAGGGGGAAGCGGCCAATCAAAGGGCTGCCATACAATACACAAATGGGGAAAATCAGGCGGTGGTGGTGGGATTCGAACACATCCCCGGGGTGATAATTGGTGGTGTTACCACCGGGCCACCACCGCTTACTTACAAGTTCATACTTTTCTCGTCCTATATGTTCGTGTTATGGTTAAAAACAGTGATACATCCAGTTCTTTGTGTGAAATGCCACATGATACGTGCTTCTTTCAATGCTGCATGCAGCTTCACTTATGTTGGAATGTAAGGTNATGTAAGGTGTGCTAATACTTTATCAAGTCTCAGTTTGAAAGATTTAATGCTTGGCGCACAGACGACGTGGGGTGGGAGAGAGTTCCAGATCGAACACACTATGACTGCGAATGACTGACGTCGGCATTTCAATCGGCACTTGAGACCACTAGTTTGAACGGATGTCCTCTGGGATGAATGTTGGGTGATAATTTTAGCAGCGAGCGACAGCGATGGTTTGGGTTTTGCATTATTTGGTGTACCATAATCACAGCTCCTCTGATGCGCTGGTAGTGATTGGAATATAATCCCAAGGACTTAAGTCTCGCTGCATATAAATAGCGATTTAACCCCTTAACCATTTTAGTGGTCATCATTTGTGGACGCTCCAGAAGTTCGCATTCAAGTTGTAGCCATGGATTCCATGCCTGAATAGCGTACTCTGTGAGTGATTGAATGTATGCTGATAGCAGGCGGGGGAATAGCGCTAAGTCAAACCGGTCAAAGACACGCTTAAGCAAACCGACATTCTTTGCAGCTGCGTCGGACACCTTGGCGCAGAAATAATTGAGAACTACCCCCAAGAGTCGTACAAAGTGTGGTCCAGCCTATGGCTCGTAATGGAGGAAACGACCAAAAGTGAACTAATTACCAAGTTAATCAACTCCATGCCACCACGACTGGTCCAAGTGATACGGAGTAAAAGTCATACAGAGAAAGGAGCAAATGAAATAACACCAAATTTTGTCCACCACATTTGTCAATACACTTTTATGATTCTTTTGCAAAACAGGTTTGGTCACCTTCCCGGTGAGGAGCCTCTGATCGCCATTGCAATCGATAATTCTGTTTTTTTTAATGATGAAGGCCAGGTCCTTTTCACTTGAGGCGTGTGGCAGTTGTTCATTTTCGAGCAAATACGAAGATCGCCCCTTGTGTCGTAGAGTTAGAACTTTACACTTTGATATATTGAATTCAATATCATTCAAAAACCAGAGATGAGCAGATTTCAGCGTTTCCTGGAGTGCCAGCGAGCCCACTGGTTGCGTCACTGTATGTCAAATTTTGACGTCATTTGTAAACAGTAATGACCTTGGCGCCAGAGCCTTCGGTAGGTCGTTTATCAATGTTACGGAAAGTCGCGGGTCAAGCACACGGAGAGCCTAAAACTAGAAACACCAGCAGCAGAAGCACCGCCAACAACAACAAAAACAAAAGGATANGTTGCTTACCAGGCACGTGGCAGAAACATGGACGTCTCTATGAGGACGGACCCGGTGAGCAGAATGAACCAGGAATCGCAGACCTCACCCGCCCTATAGAGAAGCACATCCTCCGGGACTCGGCGATGAATACCGATTCGACATAGGTCACGCAATTCCGCATCCCGATGTGCCAAGACGGGTCCGGGTACATTGAGACCTTCGATTGTGCGCAGAAATGTGTGCAAATAGGTCACATCCTACAATGGAGGTGGTGAAGAAGTGGAGAGAATCCAGATTATAGACAGGGGCGACGTGGTGAAATAACACAATCAATCCTCCAACGTGACAAAACAAGACTCTCTGGGCAGAAGCATTCGCATGCATACATAAATGTACCACCATTGAATCGACTTGGGGTCCTAACGACGAGCGCAATATGGTGGTAGCGCAGTGGTTTAGTCGCTGTCACCGGCGTGCTTTGGACTCTATGCTCCGAGGTTCGAGCCACGCCAACGCCATCCACCTTTGTTGTCGTCCGGTTCAATACCACACCTAACCTATCGGGGCCTTATGTGGTTTGTCACTCCAAGTCCCCGGCTTTAGTTGCTGGTTTCTATGATTGCATGGCAGGTCCGCGTGACTATGGGGTTCACCCTTTCCGTTATTCATTGCGCGATAGTACGTAATTAAAAAAGTCAAGTTTAGGAGCTCGAATACCGTGATTAACATCCAACTTCAATTCTGTCTAATACCAAGCTAAAAACCCCATTTCATTAAGGAAGTAGAGATATAATATGCACTGAGGAATTCATGAAGCATAATGTAAAAACGACTTATGCAAATGTAGCATTCAAAATCACTACTAATTTATCGAATCGAAAAGTTACATACGATTACAAGATAGCCTGCTGCTCGCAGAATCAAGCAAATTCGATTGCGATCTAAAGATCAAGCTCGGCGAACAACTGAAATACTCGAGAAGCAACAAACACAACAACCCACACAGTTGTTTACAAGATTCACATGCTCCTAGATTTCTCCGATTCTACGTTCATTTCACTTGGAGATATTCAATGTACATACATTGAAGTGTATCCTCTCAAACTCACTAGCAATCCAGCTAATGATTGACGATGCATCCAGAAAACGTACATTTATCGCTTTTGCTTCGCGTTACTCAAAACCGTCAAAATGTACACCACACTTAATGTGCATGTTTATGAGAATGTGGAAACACTGATCCCTAGAAAACTGGGTATTGAGGGAGCATGGCTGGACTGAATCCCAGTAAAAATTGGGCTGCGTGCAGTAAGACTAAATGCTTGTGGATAATAAAATCACGATTAATTAACCAAAATGTATACACCCCATCCGATTTCAGCTGGAATGCCGCCACAGACTGATTCCACCACAAGCTTCATGAACCTCTAAATAAGGATCAACGGAGTACAAACATAGGTTATTTCGGTACCATATTCCTTATCAAAACAGGCGGATGTTGGAGACGCCCGCAGATTACCACACAAGTGGTTCGTTGTCCAAATGCTGCAGCTCATCATTGTGAAACAGCTGCACTGATCACTGGTGTGAAAAATGACGCAAAAAGGGATGGGCCACAACTTTGCAAAACTCGGATCTCGGTGCGGAATCCAGACATTCGCCTGACACTACTTGTTCGGCTATATACGGGTTAGCAGCAGGTAAAATGAAATGCGCCTCACTTTGGAGCACATATGCACTTACACAAACACCGCTATTTTGTGCAGAACAAACTGTGATATTTTCATGAGGTCAAGAAGAAGCATCATGATCACAGGATGTGTTGAATTCAACTATTTCGTGGTAATCTCATCAGCTGTGTACATGCATTCGGGTCACGTTTGGGTAACATATCCTGTGATCATGATGCTTCTTCTTGCTCTCATGAAAATATTAAAGGGAACTGGTTGCATGAAACTGTGATGTGTTCAAGTGGCACAGGCCATCCGTCAATCACCTCCTAGGTCGTGCGCTCGAACCCCAATATGGTCCTAATTAACCACCCCCGGATTGGAAACCGAAAAGACGGGAATCCAGCGACTAGTTTTATCTTCAATATGAGGTTTTGTGAATCGAAGACACCGGTGGGATGGAAACGCAGCTGTCGAGCACAACTGGAAAAATATTTATCCTCTGAATCAGCAAATAAAAAAATCACGAGCATATGTGACAGTTATCATGGAAAACGATTTATACCAAGATCACGATCGAAACCAACTTACACACTGGTCTGAGTACTTTAAAGAATTGCCCAGGGTTGAGCGGGGGTAAGAATCTCCTTAACATGTGACTCTGTTTCGAAATAGCGGTTGATATGTTGCTATTTATCAAAATCCGTACCCCGGAAACTTGGTTGAATTTCAGTTTATGCGACCACTGATTAATCTTGCACTNNNNTGGTTGATGTCTTTTGTTCACCCAGCCATATCACTTACTGACACCAAATAGACGAATAATAATGTAAATTAAAAATAGCCAAACGTTGCAAACGAACAGCGGAAAACACGCCAGTACTCCACTCCAAATGAGCAATCACAAGACAGCAACCAAAACCGGCTCACGAAATTGCATGGTTAATAGTTTTACAAACTGAAAACTGAAACTGCACTCCTTAAAACTTCTGAGTTTCACATTTGTTTTTGGGTAAGCACATCAAAAAGCGTCAAAATGCAAGATTGGTGAGAGCTCTGGTCTGCACTTTTGTTAGAAGACATCAGGAAAATAATTGAAAGTTGTCTGCCCCAGGAAGTGGTAAACGGCTGACCGAAGCGTGGGCGAGGACATCTCCCAACGCCTAATCAGAGCAAGATTGGTGTTTGATAATCTGTGACAGCTTTAGCGCAAGAGCCATATATCCGTTTCATAAAAAAGACGTGGCCAACGAAATTCTACGCGCCATATTGTTCGATGGTCGCGAAAGTTGGGCTAATTCAGCGAATTATGCTCAAACGCTGACCATAGGCCTTAATGCGATCTGAGGTATGACGATACAACTCTTTGAGGATAGACGCAAGCATTTCAGGCACTTGATTTCTCACTAAGCAGTTCCTTAGCGCAGCCCTATCGATGGAACCGAAGGCTGCGCGGATATCGAGGAATACTGATTGTTGGTCTCTGGAAGGCACAAGGGTGGTCTCGCAACTGTTGGAGGGTGAAGATTTGGCCGATGTATCCATAACCAATGATAAAGTGAGTCTACTCCTCACATGTAGAAGCTGGGAAGAATAACGGACGCTAAAAGCTTGTGTTATTGAAATTAAGCCTATCCCGCACGGTTAGAGCAGCGACTACGCGAAGCTGCCTTACGAATGGGAACGACAATGGATTACCCCTCCATGAGGAACGGGCCTGTTCGGTTCCTTACTAGGGAGAACAAAACCTGCAACTATTTCACATGCTTTATTCCTCCACCTTCAAATATGCCTGGGGGAAGGCCATCGGAACCGGGTACCTGTTTACTTCCCAGTATTTCAATCTCCTCGCAGACTTCCACATCAGAAGGTGGGTTTGAAAAAGCCCAACAAGGGACATTCATCGGAATACCTGTAAAAGGCCAGCTAAATTCAGAATTCAAGGTCGCTGTTGATTGTGAATAGACGAGTCGTGAACATCACAGACCATTTCGCTCACACCCAGTGCTTTTCTTTAGAAGACTCGGATAAGATAAAACAGCTTCACGGAGCTGTGGTGGTAGCACGTTTCATCTCTGATGCACGGAAAGAGAATTCCATTTAATGGTCTCTGTGTGGTCTCGTTACAGGCTGTTTCATTATTCACGCTACATGTCGGGATCGATCGGTGTGCAGTTAGAAGGCTCAGAAAACCAGGGTGTTAAGGCATTATATGTCAGGCCACCATTCACTAGGCCAAAGCAATCTTGATGAGCGACCACAGTTGATTATGGTTATAAGGTAGAGTCGGTTTTAACTTTTTAGCAAGTGCGCTTTGGAAGGCGGTTAGATAAGCTGATTGGAAAAGCTTCTCAGTCTAACCGTCGTTGTGTCGTTAGTTAAGAAGGCTCACAGAAGCACAGCCTAGTACATTCCAATAACTGGTCACATTCAATTGGAGTGTTCCACTACGATTGGCGGTCTTGAAAACAAACCCATAATTTGTGATCGATTTGAATCAGGTACTGACTAGATTACAGCGGGCGCCAAGTGACGTACTGGTAACTGGTACATTCGATACTCGTATTTGTGAGACATTAGGGACGGCCGCAGCATAGAGCTGAATTCTTCTCATTGGAACACAGATGACCTGCCCTAGTATTCATATCTTCTGTGAAATGGCGATATCAGTTAGGCTTGCTTTACGCGATGTCCTGTAGGTTTTGATGATATGTTGTAAGGGTAGGTAGCCCCCCCCCCCATTAAGTAAGACCGTTTCATTGAACCGACTGAAGTGGCCAGGGCACATTCTACGAGTGCTTGTCTGGATGTCTGTCTTATGGACATTGAGATATATGTGTAAACAAATAACAGAAAGATACATTTCGTGGTTCCAGGAAATAACAACGAACAGAACTACAAACTGAGATCAGCCGTGTTTAAAACTCACTGTGGGAGATCGTTGATTTGGAGGGATGGAAAACAGCCGTATGATAGCGGCATTCTCGCTTTCCATGAGACCGGGAGAAATTCACAATCTGAAAGGAAACGTGAGTATACGATAAGCCGTGGTCGCGGATCAAGCACAGTAGCTGTAGTTGGGTGAGCTCGCGAAACCGATTTTGAATGAACAATTATTGCATCAGATTATCACAAAATAATCGAGCGTTTGCAACTAACTCTCGAAAGGTCCATAGCTATTACGTTTTGACGAGGGCTTACTCTCACCTCAAGAAACACTCCCATGGGAGTGCATCTCTTAAAGCACCTCCTTTTTTACTGCATACCACTGTGTGATAAACAACAGACGAGCGGACCCCATGGTCACGAAGACCTGCTATTCAGTGATGGCAACCGGTAACCTAAGACACGGGACTTGGAGTGGTGAAGTATATAAAGAAGTCGTACTCACTGACTTGTCCAGGAGAGGTATTCAGAAAAGCAAGGCGGAAGCCTGTATCCGACTCGACGGCAGCTAGCTTATCCACATTAACTGACTAAGATCCTGATTTAAAACACCTTTTAAGAAAAAGGGTACAAACAGGATCCAGGAAACCTTCGTCACGATAACCAGTGGCTCATTTGGACGATACGGTGTAGTGGGCACCAAGGACGTGGGAACCACGATTGAGGGCCTTACGATCCAACAGATTGGACACCAGTCCCTAAAGTACAGTGGTTGGCACACATTTTCTTGTTGGTCAAACACTAATTAGTGGAAAGCCAAGACTACCTATCTGCGGTTATTAGGTCTTTCTACAACGCCACTGTGTGACAATTGGTGGAAAAGAGATAACTGCATCGGCGACCTGAGCTCTGAAGTGAGGAACCGCAGTTTTGTGATTCAATACTCGTGCCTAATCTAGAATATGTAGGCAATAAGCAGGGTACAAAGAGTCACACTTTTGTCACCAGAATAGCCAATACAATAAAATTTGCCCGCAACCCAATAATGCAGTGAACAAAGTTATACGGATAATGTTCTGCCCAATTCGATCGAGAACCCTGAATCCTTTAGGATAAGTTAAGATAACACAGCTAAAGCCCTGTGATTAATCGTCAATCCTGGATACCCTCGGGTTAAGCAGAGCTGAATGCTACCAGGCGCGTTCCTGGGTTGTCGGGGATTTAACCAGGTTGGTGAACCACTGGCAGTTCACCTAGGGGAGTTGGCCAAAATTCCTGATTCCAAACCAACCAAGAAGAGGCGTACGAACCACACCCACACCTTTCCGGTTGTGGCAATGTTCACCGGCTCGATTGGGCATCGGGATGTATTGGGCACCTTGGACGTTTGACCCCGTCCCAATGGATTGCAGTTTTCGCACACCGCCACGCTGCCTTGCGGGTCAGGCTTTGGCTAGCAAAAGGCTCCAATTGTGGATTCCCCAAGAAATTTCACCTGCCTCAGTCTGGGCAACCTAGCAGTATTCGGCCCACTTGCAAATAGTGGAATTATTTTCTTTAGATAAAGATTATTGTACACAGTCTGGCATCAGACGTGTGTGAAATATAAATATATATCCTTGGTTTGTGAACAGGGGGATACCTTCACAGAGGGTTAGGTGTGAATAAGTTGTGGCATGCCGCAACAAATAAGCAGTCGCGAACGAACAGCGGCGGCACTACCAGGGTATGGTAGGTTTCAGGCTGGTCACCTGGCTCCTGTCTAAAAGACGGATCG